CCCCTCCCCCCGACACAGTCAGTGAGGGCTTCGATCCCTGGCAGTCGGCACTGCAGACAGTCCAAACCAAGTGACGCAACGCCGCCAGCTCGCCGTCCACCGCTCCTGCTCTCGAAGAACATCGAATGGACATTGAATGCGGCACATTAGATATGTGATGCAACTGGTCATAACGTCCTTATGTAACTGATTTTGGTGTGATTTGCGACTTCGCTGCAGCGATTTTTTATGGCTTTCCGGTCTCGGGTCATTTTTAGGGCTGGCGACAGCGCAAGTGTTAACTTCGTTTTACCTCCAGCAGCCGTGAAGGCCCTGCCTCAGGTCGGAACATCTGACAAAAAACAAACTTGTAAAAGACGCAGATTCTCAAGAACAATATCAGCGTAACAAGACGTCATTCCGAGTGTCCTCGTGTGTCGCTCCCAAGACGTCACTCCGGGCCTGCCGCTGCCCGTCTGGACGTGCCAGACGGATGAGCGCCGGCGGCCGCAGCGCCGTCCGCTGCTGACGCCCCCCCCCCCCCCCCCGCCGCCGGCAGGCTGTCGGCGCACGCCGCCATGCTGGAGCGGGTGGCAGGCCGGCAGGCGCCAGTTCGGCGAGACCGACCTGCGCACGCTGCTGCGCCGGCTGGCTGACCGGCGCCTCGAGCAGCGGCGGCTCTACTCAGCGGTGCAGCGCGTGCTGGTCAGTTCTTCGGTGCCCTGTTCTGACCTGATTCGCACCGTTCCCGCACTCACCCCCGTCCTGACCTGATTCGCACCGCTCCCGCACTCGCCCCCGCCTGTTCTGATCCGTTATAACCTTACTCGCTCTGGCCTTACCCTCTCTGAACTCACCCGCTCTGACCTTGCCGGCCCTGACTACCCGTTCTGAGCTTGCTCGCCGTAATCCTACTCGCTCTGACCTTACCTGCTCTGATCTTACCCGCCTGGGCAACGTGACCTTATCCGCTCAGGCCTTACCAGCCCGACCTGATTGATGTCAACAGGGGTTAAGCCCACCCTGACATTGAAAACCGACTTTAAAAACCCGTAAACCCGCCCTGACCTTACCCGCCCTTGCCCTTACGTGACCTGATCCACCCTGGTTTGACCTGACCTGACCTGTTGTGCCGTTTGCTGATCCCGAGCGCTGTGTCATCATGCAGTCGCAGTATCCCCAAGCCGGTGTGGTCGCCAACCCCGCACACTCTCCCTCCCTGCGTCCCTCCCTTCCTTCTTCCCTTCTTTCCTCCTTCCCTCCTTCCCTCGTTACCTCGCTCTCTCCTTAACAACAGCCGTTTGTTCCTCGTTGGCGGGCGATTCTTATGTCGAGATGAGTCTCAGTGGGCGGGGGGGGGGGGGGGAGGGGCTCCACTGACCCGGCGGCATTGGCCAGCCAGGCCGACACGAGTCTGACAGGTCG